ACTCTCGGCTGTCCAAGAACAAACAGCCAGAGCAAACATTTTAAAGGGCACCTAATCCGGCACTTACATTTCTAAATAGTTAATTTGCATAATTTTCTAATAGTCAAGGGCAATTTTAAAAATACCAAAAAAGCAAGACCAAATAAAAAAATATATATATATGTGTGATGTTTTAGTAACAGCATTGTTGCCATATAAAGACAAAATTACTGAATGTATTCAGTACCTTTGTCTGAAGATAGCCAAAATGTAACTGAAACCACACATAATGTAATTATTTGTATTCGGTCTTGCTTCCTTTTTTTTTGTAATTATCCCTAGTACGCGTGGTACAGGCCATGATAACCATGGTGGGTGGGTAGCGACTGCTTTTACTGTAAGCGCACCACATGTCTACAAATGTGATACATTGCTACCAGCTAAATGCATTTTCACTATGGTGTGATTTCCACATGATGGATCTGTAGACACATTATAATCTCTCCAGAGCTTAAGGTAGCAAACAGTACTTTCACATTATATAAATATCAATGCCAAAAGCCAGAGTTATGATAGCTGTTGCAGTGTAATGTAGACCTGCAGGATGGGAAAAAGCAATATTATTTCCGGCTTTAATTTTAAAAGTATTATGAAACGTTAAAGATAGAATCCTAACTTTTGAAGAATGAAAAAATGCTAACTTGATGTGTATTAATTTAGTCTAAAAACAAACAGCATGTAAAAGTAAGCACCAATCGAAAGCATTTATTAGCTCTAACAGTGCTGCCCCCAGTGGTAAAAGCTTGGAGCTAACGCTTCACGGGTTGGTAAAGTTTATGTTAATAATACATTAACTTAACAATATTCCATGTCTTGCTAACACAAATTTTAAAAATAACATGCATAAAAATAAAGCAATTCTTAAAATCATAAATGAAGCATCATTAAATTAAATGGGAGAGAAATGGTGTTCCAAAATTTTTTTTTGTTGTAAAACTTTGACCTTTATATTTTTACAAATTCTTAAAGTATATAACCCAAACCAAATTGTCTATAAAATTCTGCAAACAAATATAATATTATAGAGGCATGAAAATACCAATGGTGTAAAAATCAAAACAGCAAAGTTATCCTGATAAATGCAATGAGCTATGATAAGGTGTGTTGCAGGCTAACAAAAACCTTAATTGAACCAGAAATGTTGATACCATAAAAAAAATAAAAAAACAATTTTCAAGAATAGAGTTATGTAAATGAATTAAATGTGAAAAAATTAAAATAAAATAAAGTAAAAAAAGCTTTATTGATGAAACTACAGTAGAGCAATAATCAGTGATTCTCAACCAATGTGCCGCGGTAATTTTGTGTGCCGCGAAATTCTAAAAATGTGTCGCTGAATTTTAGGCATATGATTATGTTCACGTTTGTAATGGTTTTTCTTTTTTTCTTTTTCATTTTTTTACTTTTTAAAATAACGAAATTAGCAAATTGAATGTTAGAGATGTATATTACTTAGATTTTGCATAGAAATATTGATACATAATTTGAATTTTCTTGCATTCAAGTTAGCAAAAGTGTGCCGCGAAATTCTAAAATTGTGCCGCCAAATTTTCAAATCTTTAAAATAATGCCGCAACAAAAAAAAGGTTGAGAATCACTGATCTAAATACTACTTAAACAAATGACAGCAAAACAAAAAAAAAAAAAAAAGACAATGGAAGAAGGCCTAAAAAAAGTCTAATTTGGTTGAAAAAACTGCCCAATAAATTGAGCCTATATAGATATATGGACCCGGCTTCGCCCGGGTATTGTTCGAGTGGGGTTTACTCTTGAATGAATAGAGCCCCCAACTGTTTTTAAAACTTTAAGTAAAGAATTTTCTTTCAGCACAATGGAGATGAACTGCAAATATCAAAATTAAAAATTCTGGTAAAAATAATCTGAAATATAAGATCAATTGCACAAACACATCTAATGTATAGAGTGCTTTTTTGGAGGAGTGGTCTAAACTGTTGATTTTTAAAAACCACGACCCGGGATCATCGAATCCAGTTTTGGGGAATTTGTTCTGAAAAAAAAAAAATTGCCCCAATGGCCCCTGATTCTTGAAAAAGTCAAACCCCTCCAGTGAGTGCAAGTAACCAAACTTGGCTTTGGTATCTAAAAAATGAAAAAAAAAAATCAAAGGATTAGTGTGAATTAAGGGAAATGGGCCTCGCAACCTGAAAATTTCACTTTCTCCACTTCACTCTCGGCAGTTCAAGAAGAAACAGCCAGATTAAACATTTTTAAGGGCACCTAATCCGGCATGTACATCTATAGTTAAACAACTTTTAAAAATGTAATATATCTGCAATACTGAAATACCCAGACTTGGATTTTTTGTTTTATTAGTTAATTGTTGGCAGTTTTAGGAAAATGTGGGAAATTAGATATTATCACAAAAGAATGTACTTTTTAAAATGGCATAAAATAATTAGGAAATTTGCATCATTTTCAAATAGTCAAGGGCAATGTTAAAAATATCAAAAAAGCAAGACCAAATAAAAAATAAACGAATTATGTGTGATGTTTCAATAACAGCATTGTCACCTTATAAAGACAAAATTACTGAATGTATTCAGTACTTTTGTCTGAAGATGGTAACAATGCTGTTTCTGAAACCACACATAATTTATTTATTTGGATCTGGTCTTGCTTCCTTGTGATTTTTATCTATATTTCAAAATATACCTCAATTCTTTTTTACCTAAAAAGCTTTACATATATATTGCCAAGACCATAAATAAAGGTAAAATGTCAAATGAGTTATTAATTAACCCTATATGGGTCAGGATATATATCTAAATGCATTCATATAAAAATATGGTTGAACCATATAAATATATATAAATGCTATTAGAGCATAAACATATTACATGGAACAAACATATAGTAAAATATATGTAGCAAGTTATATTGTAAAACATACTTTTTTCAATAAATATACTTTTTACAACTTTAATAAAATTTATACGCACTCTAAATATAAGAAAGAAAAAAAATAGAATACTGTACTAAAAATAATATACCTTATGAGATAAAATACTACACTTATCGTTAAAGATGTAGATCGTTATATTTACACTAATTAAAATTAAACGAAGCAAAATATATGAATAAGCTGCGAAATAAATAATAATTCCAATTAATTTAAATTGAAAAAATATTACAAAATGATTAAATAAAATCTACCTTCTAAAAAGGAAAAGAAAGTTTTTCGAAATGCAATTTTTGTGCTTTTAGCCTAAATGTTAAACCAAAACCTCAACTCCCTACGTGCGAAATTTCACAATACAGTTTTAATTAACCCAGGTTCCGGGGGCGTATTTATTTGATAATGATCGATTAAAATTATTTTAAAAGAGTTTAAATATATAAAAATAATCTTACCTTTTAAAGACACACATTAATCGGGTAAAATTACAAAACAACAACGTGTAAAATTATTAACCAATCAGATTCATTTATCGTCGCGACCAGTGCGCCGCCAAGCGGTAAAAGGCTTGAACTAAGGAATTTTGGTTTAACATTTTTTAAAAATAGCACATTAAACCTTTTCGTTTTTTGAATAGCCTATATGTTAAACGAAATCTTCAGCTACCTACATGCGAAATTCCATAATGATTGAGTCAGTAGATTTTGCGTGATGCGATAACAAACATCGATTTCGCATTTCATTTTTATAGATATAAAGGATAAAGGATGACAAACAAGTTGATAGGAAAAAAATGATAAGGAAAATTTAGGCTTTATATTTACATATGTACATAAGCATATCAACATATTATATTATTCAAATATAGTCGCTTAAATATATTGAAAATATGTATATCGATCATTATTTTTAATCGAACCTAATATATTTATAAATTCAGATTTCCTAAAGCGCATTATTAACTTAGGATAGGCTATATAAAAAAATCTTTCTTGAAAATGTGTATAAGGATATTCCATCATAAATATTTCATTATAGGATGCTTATAATGTATTTTATATGAAGGATAATACATCACTGGCCATTAAAGTTGCAACACCAAAATGTGACACGCTACAAACGAGATATTTACGTGAGTGGAAGATGCTGGGATATGCAATGATTAGAATTTCAACGAATTTATGAAAAATAGTCACCGACATCGACAATGTATTGAATATATACTTTTGTGTATTATTTAGAGAAAATTTATTTATTTATTTATTTAACAGTTGCAAAGACACGCCATATCCACAATTAGGATAATTGCGTGTAAATATGAAATTATATACTAATCAAATCATTGAGAAATTAACAAAATTGAACATTGGGAAACACGCAAATTACACATTCGATGTCAAATTTTGCATATAGTAATTTGAAATATATACAGTCAACAATTTCGCCTTAAAATATACAGCCTGCAGAATCTATTGAACTTGTGGAATTGGTTTTATTGTAAACAACTTGTTTTGTATTTGTCATGTAAAGTTGGTTTTCTTTCCTTAGATCAGAAGTTAACGGACAGTTTATCAGGAGGTGTTCAGAGTTTTGTTTTGCGCTTCCACAAGTGCACGCTTTTAGAGAAAATTGCTTCTCAATGGCTCCCGATTTTTACAGAAGTGCAACCCAACCAATGAGTGCACATAACCAAATAACGCCCTGACACACTTGTATGTAAATGAAATTTATTAATTCAATTGCCATCTATCTATAAAATTTGTAACAAATACATTTACTGGCAATGTGTTTCATTTCATATATATCATAAAACATTATCTTTGCATACCTTACTACAATGATAAAAGTAATGAGAAAGCTCTCAATAATATTTGATGATATTATTGAATGAAAAACATTGCCAGTAAATTTTATTTGTTACCAATTTTACACTTGTATGTGCAGAGGTAGTACTGAGCTTTCTACATCATATATACAAGTATCAGAGTCATCAACAATCAATTTGCTTTTGTGAATGGAATAAATACCCAAATATGGCCATTTCTTATAAGCATCGCTGGTTCAGTGGTAGAACTGCCACGCCTGCCACGCGGTAGGCCCGGGTTCGTTTCCCGGAGTTTAAAACTCATTTATATTATTAATTTGAAATAACTAAATTAGAATTGCAAAAAATAATTAAATCAAATACCTAAACACTAATATAATACAATTTTTGCCATTACACACTTTTTTCCTGTAGTTTATGTGTTTCTTCTGTATTGCTATTCTATGGCACTTCTAGTATTTATTATTGATGTACTTTCAGTATGAAGGATACTTCACTCGGGGGATTTCTCGGGCGAAGCCGGGTCATTCTTCTAGTGTGTATATAAGCAGAATCGTCCAATACAGTATTAGAGCTCTGAGAAGCGGTCTGGTGGATTAAATTGGCGAAACCGCCGGGAGGGTTCACCACTGATGAGCCAAGCCCTCCCAATATATTTTTTCATCGCAGTAAGGGCAGTAGAAGTTTGTATTATGTATAAGAGAAACATTCGTGGTTTCAAATCCTTTCAATTTATATGTAAAGATGGCGCGTTATTGTTTTTGTGTTAATAAAAAAGAATACTAAATTCTTGCAAAAGTCTAACCCCACCAGCGAGTGCAAGTAACCAATTGGGGCTAGGGCACATTTATAAGTACAAAGTCGAACTGTTTTCACACGTGTAGACATGTGGCGCACTTAGAGTAAAATCAGTCGCCTACTTCTATCCACCATGATTATCATGGCCTGTAACACGAGTGTACTAGGGTTAATAATAAATAAACAATATGGATCAATATCCTCTGAGCAAGATTTACATTCCTATATCTATGAGTACCAAGAGGCCCCTCTATCTTAAAAAATCCATTTAACAATGTATATTTTTAATTTCTCCAGCATAAAGCGAAAATGTGAGGATGAAGAAGGAGCCACGCACTAGTGTTTTTATATATAAATCCCATCTTTCACCAACTTCATGTTATATATATACATACATAGCATAAAGTTATGGGTGGATAGACTTCATGTACCAGAAGTGGGACCTCTTCCTTTAGTTGTGTGTCAGAACGATAGCATTGTTCATCACCCCAGGAAAAAACATTACTAGTTATCATGTCGAATATAAAAACACCTCCTAAGAGAAACAGTATTATTTTCAAACTTGTATAAAAGTATTTATAAAAATATTCTTTCTTGTTTTTACATTTTGAAACAATCAATAAGGCACCTGGAGTTCGATTTCTTTTCACATTTCTTTTAAATCCTCGCTCTCGCCATCCTCCTGTCTACCAAGTCATCCATACACAGGTTCTTTCTGAGCCTTGAGATGAGGGGAGAAGGTGAAAACCCCCTTACTGTCTGGAGGAGGACTCTCTGTCGTTGGGGGAATCTCCTCGACTGTACATAACTGTATATATTTTACTCTTTTATTTTATCCCTCTTTTTATAATTATTATATACTACTACCATTGACTTGTGTATGAGGTCAATAAAATATTTTTAAATCTTAAATCTTTTATATCTTGAGTTTTCGGTCTAACATGCCCGTCAACACCGAAATCCAGAAGCACTACCTTTTTGTACCCGTAGTACATCTGGATCCCGTGTTGAAGGGCCATGTTAGCCCGAACGCTAGAAAAATAAAAGAAAGGTGAAAAGAAACCGAAACCTAGATTCCATATTGAATGTGTCGAAAATATTTATATTTCTTTATTTGATTTCAACACACAAAACACGATATCCCGAATAGGGATAATGGCCTCGATTTACATTTTTGAACAGGAGCAGTTATAAACATCAATTGAAAACCCCTGTAAGATTTATAAATGAGTTAAACAAAGTATCAAGGGCTGCGTATATTTTATTAGCACGAATATGTGCTATTCGTGCTAATAAAATATACGCAGCCCTTGATGCTTTGTTTAACTCATTTATAGTTATAAACATATTATATAAAAACATATTTAAAAAAAACAATAAGATATATTAGAAACCTGATCCTTCCAGGTTAGAAAGATAATAATGAATATATTTACAAAAATGGTTAATTTTTGTGATAATTATCTCTAGTATTTACAAATTCATATAGATCTACAATATTATTTATTCTCTGTTGTCTAGCGCTATAGAAGAGTGGGCATTCCAGCAGTAGGTGTCTCGAGTCCTAGATTTCCTTGCCACAGTGACATCTAGAGTCAAAAACTATTTTAATTAAATGGTTTTATTCTATATCATAACTAATAAGGTTTTTGACTAGAGTGATGCACAGAGCTATTGTCCTAATGCACAAGTAAAGGTAGAGATGCCTCTTTTAGTATATACATATATATTTATTTAATATAAATTCTTATATAAATAAATATAACTAAATATAATAACAAATAATATGAAAATATATTCTTTGAAACGTATTTGGTCATCTATTTTTTTCAATCTCACCTAGAAAGGAGAGAAAGCCAAAAATATGAAAAAAAAACTTTTCAATATAAATATTTTTTCTAGTTTAAAAAAAAATACAGTTTCTTTGAGAAGGTATTTTTATATGTTTAGCGATTTTTTAAAGGATAAAAAAAGAAGATGCTCCTTTTCTAAAATGGCTGAGAGTGGAAAATTCAAGTTAAACATCCCGTAGATGGTAAAAGCAGATAAGTTGAGATTGGATGGTGTAAACATCATCGATTTTTGCCAGATTTAAATATCTATCCGCTCTCCCAGACTCATCTGAGGTGAAAATTGATTCTCTGAAGATGTTGAGGACTCTGTTGAAATGTGCCTTGGAATGATGACTTCGTACCCCGATCAACTTGGGGAAATGGAAAATGCTGCGTATTTGACAGCATTTCTATTTATTCGCTGATGTCATCTTGTGACCTTTTTTTTTAGTGAATTTTGTCATTTAGATTTGTATATTGACAATAAAGATAAAACGGTTATATTCTAAGAAAATTTATAGTATATATACAGTAGGACCTTCTCGCTAGAAGACACCTCTCTTCAAAGGACAGTTTTCATTTGTAAAATTTCTATTTTTACTATTTTGGCACTCAACGGTAAGAGGACACCTCTCCCTAAAGGACACTTTAGCTCTGCAATTAGGCTTCCTTTACATATAAACCCTGTACATATATATATATATATATATATATATATATATATATATATATATATATATATATTATATAATCTAAAAAATCAAATATTTCTATGTTTGAAAAAATATATTTTTTATTTTTATTCATTGATAATTCTACTTTCGTTATCATCGTTTTTAGAATGACTTTCAGTTTTGTTATACAGTTTTGTTGTAAATATGCGTAGTTAACATATCTATCTTTTTGAATCACTAATATAGGCTTAACTTTATAAATTCTATATAATGTGAAAATAACTAATGTGTAATATTTCCTCAAGTAATTGAAAATAAAAGCTACTTGATGGTAAATAATTATATTTTTCTTATCACGACTGCACCTTTAACCCTTTATCTTATCGATCCTTTGTCTTATCAACCCTTTATCTAACAACAAACAAATTATTCATAACAATAGGCCGACAGGATTACCTGAATTTCAACTCAATTACTTTATAGGTTATTTTTCAACCTCCACGATATTTTTCTTATCACGACTGCACCTTTAACCCTTTATCTTATCGATCCTTTGTCTTATCAACCCTTTATCTAACAACAAACAAATTATTCATAACAATAAGCCGACAGGATTACCTGAATTTCAACTCAATTACTTTATAGGTTATTTTTCAAATTTTATAAAATCAATATTTTACAAAATGTCGCGTAAACAAATAAATTTAGAACATACCATGACGCCTAATTCAGGTACTTTAGAAATACCAAAATTTAATGGTCAAAATTTAGACATAATATCTTGGCTCAAATTCTTTAACAAAAATTGTCTGCAGAAACTTCTTGATGAAGATTTTAAACTAAATAATATATCAAATTATCTCGAGGGAGAAGCATTCAGTTATTATATTGAAGAATTACAAGATATAGATAATATGGGGGAAAATAGAACAAAAATTAACATCATACTTATATACAATTGAAGATTCAAATTTATTCAGTAGGTTTCTGAATTTAAAATATAATGATAAAGATGATCTTGAAGAATATTTTAAGGAAAAATCTGCTTTAGCCAAAAAACTTAATCTAGAAAAAAAAACACTTTTATTAGAGGCACTAACAGATGAAATGTCAAACCACCTTTAAAAATATTTAATAGCTGCAAGGATATAAGAACCCTCAGATTGGTTTAAAATTACAACCCAATTAAAAGTATCAACAAATGAAGAAGAACCCCAACAACCCTCTACAAGTAAGAGCAATAGACCATTTACTCCAGTAAAAAGATTTAACCCCAACTACTCCCAAGCTCATCAATATCAGCCTTTTCCCAGGACAGCAGCAGCAACTCACCACCAGCAAGAACCCCAAAAATCAATAAACCTACCCCCATACCCCTGCAAGATATGTGCATCTCACCAGTTACCCAACCAGATACATTTCCACAGAGGCTGCCCACTTAAGAACAATACTCATCCAGAGCGCATCAACTCAGGTAGAACATTATTGCTTTTCTCTGTACTTATAAACCATATATCTTTACCTTATGTACTTGACACTGCATCATCTATTTCCATTATCCCTTTAAAATATTTAAACTCTATTTATTATAAAATATTAGACAATTCCCCAAAAGAAAGAATTGTTAGGTAGAAGGATTTAGTTACCCATTATGCAAAATATTAGTTAGGCTTACCTTAGGAAAAATTACAAGGTATCAAGAAATGTTTGTTTGTGATAGTCCAATAGAATATCTTATTTTAGGCTTACCAACATTTTATATATTTAAGTTACAAATAGATTTTTCAAAAAACCTTCTTTTTCAAAACTATAAATTCTTGTATTCTTTCAATCCAAAAACTGATAATCAGAAGTCATATGCTACCACCCTATGTATTCCAGACCCATACTATGTTAAAAATTCATCTCTTTTAAATATCAACCCATTGTATAATTTCAATTCTTTTCATATACCAACTACAAATGTTAAACATTTATATCCTAATTCAAATCCCA